GGGGCGGGGGGCGGCGGGGGCACGGAGCCGGCTCGGCGGGAGGCGCGCGCAGACCCCGCACCGAGGGGCCGACCGCAGGCGGCGGCTCTGAAACTGACACTCGGCGGCGGCGGCAGCAACAAAAGGGGGGGGCAGGAAATCAGCTGTGCGGTCACGTGCGGCGCGCGGCCAGTGGGCGCGCGGCCGCTCTGTTTTGATACATTCCGTTCGGCTCTTAAAGGCGCCGCGCTCTGGGCCCTGGGGCCGCTGGCATTCGGCCGGCAGGCGATTTGGGGGCCCCCGAGGGACCCCTCCTCAAAAAGCTGTGACGACTTAGGGCGGTTCTAGCCGTCCCCTGCGCAGCCACTGTCGACGAAGCCCTCGCCTGTGCCTGCGCGCGGCCAAGCCCGGAAGCTGCGCGAAGACTCGCCGAGAGCTGGGCGGCGGTGTGAGTCCGTTTCCCGGGAGGAACCGGGGCCCAGGGCAGCGAAAGGCCTTCGTGGGTCACACCCCGCTGAGGAGGGGTTATTCCCAGACGCCTTGCTTGGGACCCAGTGAAATGCCACCTCTCCGCCAAGAGACAAGTGCGGGCAGCGCCTTGGCGATCGCAGGATCCGCGCACGGACCGGGAAACTGAGTCGCACGAGGTCAGGGATTTGCTTGAGGACACACAGGACCCTCGGCGTGGCGGTGGCGGCCGGGACTACTTGTTTTAAAGGGGGCACCTGACCAATCCCCTCCCACCCCTTGATCACAACAGCAGCTGCTCACTGAGTCACGTGACTGCAGGTTACTTTCTACTAGTTTGTTAAGGAAGGTGTAGCCCGCCGTTCACTCTCACGTGACCACCACCCAAATCCAGATACACATCACCTGTGTTTCCCTGCCCCTTCCAGTCAGTGCCCCCCCAGCTACCTCGATCCTTGACTAATTTGCTTTTCGTGGTACTTTGTATAAACAGCATCATAAGGTATCTGCTTTTTAGGGTCCAGTTTCTTCTGTCCAAGACTTTATCTGTGAAATTAACCCATGTTGTTGAGAGTGGAACAGCATTCCATCGTGTGCATATTCCACAGCTTACCCACCCACTGTTGATGGTCAGTGGGGCTGTTAGTGGATTTTGACTGTTGTGAATAAACCTGCAGGACTTTCTTAAATGAGCATCTGTGTGTCTGTGTTGTAGCACTGCCCGTGGAGGGCTACCCGGAGTGAGGGCTTTGTCTTGTAGTTGGTGTGTCTTGAGTTTTGTGAAAACTGGCCAGAGCTGCTCCCAGAATGGTTCCACCGTTTTCCACTCCTACCAACAATTTTGAGTTACATTTGGTGTTGTCAAATCTTTTCAAGTCTTGTTTGAGGCATTCTGATTAATGTGAAGTGCCTCTCACTAGATTTAATTGCCTGATGCAGCTGCCATCACAACCCAGTTACAACGTGGTTTTATGACCCGTAACCCCAGCCTCTCCCCTCCCCCTCCTGGCCCGTGTTCTGTCCCCATAGGTGCTTCCCCAGCATGTCACAGAGATGGAGCCACATGACCTCCATGGTGACCCTTCAGTTGGCCTGATGCCCTTGTGAACCCCCTAGGGGGCCTTGCGAGCCCGTGGTCTGTTCCGTGGACAGGGTCATTGGTAGCCAGTGTTTTGAGGCTCCCTCTCCGCTGTGTGGGGATGGACTCAGCAGGGAAGGTGAGAGGTGGGGACCCCTGCTCTAATCCAGACACGCAGTGACAATGGTGGCTGCCATCCTGAGATGTGTGAACATGCCGAATCGACTCCCCTCAGTCATATACCAGGTGGAGCTGCCTCCTCTGGCCGTGAGGCGTGATCAGTTTCAGACCCAGCTCTGTCGCCAAGGGTGGGACAGTCTCCGTGGGGCACCCCAAGGGGCTCCACGGACACCTGCAGGTGCCCTGACCCTCACTGTAGGGCCGGGGCCACCAACACCAGGAGGGCGCCTGAGCTTGACCCCAGAATCCTAAAGACCAACTTCGAAGGCCACAAGCACCTGGGGACGCGCCGTGTGCAGGTGGCTTGTGAGGGACAGATTTAGGATTGAACCAGCCTGATGCAGAGCCTTGCTGGTAGCCCTCGAGCACTGCAGCCCCGGCCACAGGTTCTTCATCTGTGAAACGAGGGAAGGGGTCTGAAAACTTCATCTGGGATCTGCGCCTCCTGAGGCCGGTCCCTGAGCCCTGAGCGAGCCCTGCTCTGTGACACCAGGCCAGCGGACGGGGCCCCCTCCCTCCTGCATCCCCGGGCCTGTGTGTGGCAGGTGGGGCGCCTGTGCTGGTTCCCTGCCCAACATTGTTCCCAGTGAGCCCCCTCACCCTGCCTGGATGCCCCCGACAGAGCTCCCTCCACCGTCTTTCCTTCCTGGGTGGACGCACTCAGTAGAGGGGCTCACTGAAAACCCTCAGAATCAGCAGGAAACTGCAGGGAGACGGAGTCCCTCACAGACCAGCTGCTGCCAAGAGGTACTCTCTCCTCCCCTCCCTCCTTAACCTCGCTCGCTCAGCCACGCTTACTGAGCAATGGCTCTGTGTTCCAGATTTTGGGAACTCAAGTGAAAAAGGCACCAAAACTGTTCACACGAGCTCTTTACACACAGATAGAGGGTTTTGCCCAACAGAAAGGTTATCATAATCACTCTTTTGTAGTCTTTCCATTTTGCAATATACTGTGAGCAATTTCCTTTGCTAATGTGTGGGAAACCCCAGAATCATTCTTTAAGAATATTTTCAAATGTAGTTTCTGATTCCATAATGTATTCACTTGTTTTAGAAACTAAGACAAAATGCGTACAAGCCCCAGGGAACAATTCTTCCATCCCCCTCCCGCCACACCGAGGGAAGCATTTTCACTTGTTTCTCATAAATTTTTCCAGTTTTCCACGCATAAACCCAAGTGAATACAAATACATATTTTTTCTTCCCATTATGTAACCCTAAAGTTAAGCCTGTCACCTAACAGTGTGTCCTACAGTCAGGTTGTTGCCAGCATGTGCGGGTGACCTGCCCTGTCCAGTGCGAGGTCATCCCCTGAGTGGACACCATGATGTCACCGGCAGATGGCGAGGCCCAACAGCCCTTCTCTCTGGCACGCCCGAGTCACTTCTAAACACAGCCTCCGTCCAGCGGCAACTCTTCCTGGTCAAGGGGACCGTAGTTACCTGAGGCGCTCCCTGCAGTTGGGCAGCTGGGTCAGTGTCAAGCTTTCCTGGAGCAGGGAGGACAGAGACTCAGAATGGGGGCAAAGGGACCAAAATCAAAGATCTGGGGTGAAGGGGTGGGGGGTGGGGCTGGCCAGGTGATGCCTTCCAATGGCTCCCATGGGGACAGCCAGAGGCCTGGGTCCCTCGCCCCCAGCTCAGGTGCCTCAGAGCTGAGCAGGCGACAGAGATGCAGCAGACGAGATCCCTCACCCCATCCCCTGGAGAATGGTGGGGCAAGGATGCGGGGATGAGGGGGCAGGCCCTCTTCCTTACCCTCCCAGAGGGAGGCTCAGAGAGCAGGTCGCTTGCCCGAAGTCATGCAGCAGCTCACACCCACCTGGGGCGCTGGGATTAGATAGCCGAGATCTCTCCTTGGTGTTGGGTGGTGGAGCCAGGGTTCAAACCCGGGCAGGCTGAGTCCAGAGGCTAACATTCCAAGCAGAGGATAAGCCGCCAGGCAGGCCCGAGCAAGGAGCCTCCTAGAGTCCCTGAGGCCCCGAGATCCTCTGGACTAGATCTCGGTCGATGGTGCGAAAGGTGCAGCCCAGGCAAGTGCAGGGTGAGGGGGGCAGGCTGGGGTCACATGGGAGGGAAGGGTGTGGAGGTGGCAGAGGATGCCTGCCTGGATAAAGGGGCCTGTTCTGGTCACTGGGTTTTCAATAGGAGCTGGAAACAAGAAGTACAGTGAGGCCTCCTGACGTGTAATGCTGGCAGCCAATTAAAGGCACAACACAGGTGCCTGCTACTCGCTCTTCAGTGGCTGGGGGAGAGGGACAGGGGCCTGGCAAACTGGTAACAGTTGGTGCGTCCAGATAAAGTCTGCCTGCAAGTTCAGGGCAGGATTCTGGCCATTTTCCTGGAGGCGTAAATTTTTTCAAAATAAAAAATTGGGGGGAAAAGAGAGAAAACCAAGTAGTGAGTTTTGGTTACATCCTGGTTGGGAAAAAAAAAATCAGCCATGAAAGACATTTTAGGGACAACGGGTCCTCGAGTGTGGACTGCGTGTCAGGTGTGGGTGGAACTGCAGCTTTTGCTCAGGAGGGACAATCATGCTGTGGTTTCGGGGAGGGTGTCTGCTCTCAGGGGTGCACACTGAGGGGTAGGCTGTACCATCAGGAACCCTCAACTGGGTCAGAAACAACAGGTATCTAGGTAGGGGGGGCAGGGGAGAGCGACAGAGAGGAGAGAGCCTGGGCCTAGGCATGGTCCTGGCGTCCCGGGCTCCCGCTTCCTGGGTGCCTGTTGAAAGTTTTCGTGATACACATTTGAGGCAACAAGGTAGAGAAGCCACCGTGGGGGTAAAACAGGGTGCATGTGGGTGTGGCTGTGCCCCAGTCATTCAGCCGTGTTTGCCCCCACAGCAAGTTGGGGGACCAGGGCCCAACAGGCCCCAGTGTCCTTCTGTGCCTCGGGTTTCCCTCCCTCCCTGGTTTTCCTACTCCTTACCCCCAAGAGCTCCACTCTGTGGAGGTAGAAACCAAGAGCCAGAGCAGAGAAGGGAGTTGGCCGGTTTGCACGTCAAGTTGGGGCAGGCAGCTGGTCCTCAGGGCCTCCCGTCTTCCCTTCTGTCCTCCGAGCAAGGACACCAGCTCTGGAGTCAATAGGTCTGGCTGTGCTGCCAGCTCTGCTGTGTGACCTGGGGGTACTCGTGTAACAGCTTCGGGCAAGGAGTTAGCGAGGGGACGCAGGAGAAGGCTCCAGACTGCTGCCCTGGGCACGTCAGTGCTGTCACGTGTCCCTCTGCCCTGCAGTCCCAGAAATCTCAGCCTCAAGGCCGCCCTGGATCAGACAGAGCCCCTGCCTCCACAGCCTTCTCTCAGCCCAGCCTGGATCACTGCTGCTGTCCCCCTGGCTTCCCTGCTGGCCTCCTGGCGTCCCCTCCGATCATGTCACCTCCGAGCCTAGTGGCCTCATCTGTAACAGGGCAGCGATGGCCCCAACCGCTCAGGGCTTTTTCCTTCATCAGGCAGGCTTCCTTCCTTCTCCTGCCCCAGCTTTAATGAGGCACGATGCACGTGGAATAAAATTCACCTTTCAGTGTGACGATTTTTCACACGTGTGTGCAGTTCTGTAACGACCACCAGGAGCACAATGCAGACCCTCTCCTTTACCCCCAAGTTTCCTTGTGTCCCTTTGTGGTTTACCCTGTCCATGCCCTGGACACAGCGGATCTACTTTGCATTACTCTAGCCTTTTCCAGAACAACTTTCAAATGGAACCACACTGAGTGAGGGTCCCCATTTGGGTCTGGCTTCTTGAACTCAACACCCTCAAGACGCACCTGCTGCCCCATACCTGGAGTTTTTTCCTTCTTGTCTCCAAGGGGGGTCCCGCTGAGGGGCACAGCACCTTGGTCGTTCCAATCACAAATTCGTGGACATGCGGGTCTCTCCAGCTTTTCGCTGTGATGAATGACGCCTCTATTAGTGCTCGCGCACTGGGGTGTGTGTGTGAGTGTAGGGTTCCATTTCTCGTGGGAGGGGAGGGGCTGGGACGTAGGCAGGGGTACGTTTGATTTCACAGGAGTCTGCCAAGCTGTTTGCAAGTGGTCGTACCTCTTTGCACCCCCACCAGCAACGTGTGAGAGTTCCGGTTTCTGCCCATCCCGGCCACTGCGTGGAACTGTCAGCCCTCAAAATGTTAGCCACTCTAACAGGTGTGCGGTGGATGTTCAATATGGTCTCAGTTTGCACTCCCCTGGTGACTAGTGGTGAGGTCACCTTTTCATGGGCTTGTTTGCCACCTGGATAGCTTCCTTGGTGTGGTGTCTGTTCAGGCCTTTCCCCCTGTTTTTATTGGGTTGTTTGTTTTCTCATGGTTGAGTTGTAAGAATTCTTTGTATATTCCGCGTACAAGCCCTTTGCCAGAGATGTGTTTTGCAAATATTTTCTCTCAGGGTGTTTTGAGGGGTAAATAACATGTGAACAGTAAGTGGGTACCCTTCTCACTGTACTTCTTTTCACTGCTGTTGTTTTATTACTGTTTTGTCCTGCGGCTGGAAGACTTCAGGCCTCTCAGCCCAGAGCTCCCCGGGGCACCTGCTGAGGCCCCTCTTTGCCCAGGCCCACCACTCAGGGCCCCTCTGCTGGAGCTCCCAGCTCAGAGGGGACATCTGCGCTGTTTGTTGTTTACATGCTCATTTATCAGAAGCAACAGCTGGCCTCGGTTGCGGGGCTGGGCCTGGAGGAGGCCTCAGAGATGGCCTCGCCCTCCCTGCTCTGCCCGCAGGATGGAACCAGACCCCTCCCGTCTCCCAGCCCACCGTGTGGCCCCTGCGCGCCTAGTGAGCATGGGCCCATCCCCTCAGTCGAACCTCATCGCAGCACCAGGGTCCCAGTCCCATTTGCCAGACGAGGCACCTGAGGCTTGAGGAGGCGGTGAGGCCCACAGCCTAGAAGGGGCAGCGCTGGGACGTGACTGCAGGATCAGGCTCTGAGGGCATGACCTGCAGCACCGCCACCCCACAAACACATCACCAGGCTGAGCAGAGGCCACCTGAGGCCGACAGGGACTGCTGAGCATGGGCTGGGCATGGATGATCTCCCCCGAGGGAGGCACTGTTGTGGACCCATTTTACAGACGAGGACACTGAGGCTGCGAGAGTCCCAGTGACTCACTCAGTGAATTAGTGGCAGAGCAGGATTTGAACCCAGGCATGCTGTCCCCTGTGTTGGGGGACACGGTGGGCCAGTGTCTTGGGCGGTAAGAGATTCACCAGAGACAAAGAAGAACTTAAGAGACAAAGGAAAGTTTAATAGGAACACTGTCATAGGCAACAGGGGGCCACACAGACAGAGGAGCCTGTGTGAGCGCTGGGGGTGGGTTGCTAAACAGAAGGGGCTGTGTGGTCAGCTCGTGCTCAAGTTTTTGATTGTTTGTGGGTGAGGTGAGAGCGTCGGGTGTGAAGAGACGGTGGGATTTATCGCTCCGGGAAGGAGGAAATGGGCTGAAACAAGTGAGCTGTTGTGAGGTCAGCCGCTTCCCGGGACTAGGAAGGCGGTCGGTGGCTCTGTGAGTGGTCGCCGCCCGAGATAAACTGCAGAAGGTGCAGAGGCTTTAAGGACTGGCTGCTAGTTCCCCGTCATTCCTCTCATTGTGGGGCAG